GAGAACTTTGAGGAGGGAGAAGAAAGTGTTTGGGAACTTTAGAGAATTTTGGAAGAACATGTGTTTGAGAACTTGGAGGATGTTTGTGAACTTGGAGAATTTGAGAACTTAGGGAAGGAAGAGAAATGTGTTTGTGAAGTGTTTGAGACATGGAGACTTTTGGAAGAGAAGGGAAATGTGTTTGGGAAATTTGGAGAAGGGAGGAGAAGTGTTTGGAGAACTTTAGAGATGGGAGAAGTGTTTGAGAGATTTGGAGAAGAAAATTTAGTAGAATGATCTTATTACAACAATTGAGAACTACAAAGGGAAATTAAGAGAATTTGAGGGAGATAAGGGAAGGGAGCTCTAGAGAAGTGCTTGAGAGCTCCCCCCCTTGGGGTGTTATTACAAGCTTAGAGAACTTCCCTATTTATAGGCCTAGGGGAAGTGAAAATCTGAATTCAATGTGGCTAATGCATACAACACTTGTTTTATAAAATCTTAAATGGTTGATGCACTTGTATTAGAAAATCTGAAATGGGTGATGCCCTTGTATTAGAAAATCTTGAATTGGTTGATGCCCTTCACCAATAGATCCCACCAGCAGCCCTAGCTCATCTTCATGTCATCATGACCAAGCTTCCAACCAGAAATGATAGCTCATACCTAGCTCACCATGACCAAGCATCCAACCAGCACATGCTGAGGTCAGCATGACCAGCAACTTCAAGGGCTTACAACTTGGGCTTCTCTTAATCAAATTGGGACTTTAAGCACTCTAAATTGAAGTTCAGAATGTCTTGTTTCCAGCCATATGTTATTTGGGCCAATCCAAGGTCTGAGGAAGAAGTTAAGGCCGAAACAAATTGCTAACTCATTTTCCGCGCTGATAAGATCCATCCTGAGCATGGTTCTGTGTTTGCTAGGTAACGGACTCCAGATTTATCCAATGGGGCTGAATTTTGGATATGTTATAGTACACACCAATTGGAGCAACTTTCATGAAGAATGTGGCCTCATCCGAGCTATGTAGGTTGCTGAAACAAAGCTTGCAATATGACCTACGGAACTGGACTGGCAGGGGGCTGTAGCCATAATGAATTTGTCTTTAAGCTCTTCATCAATTCATCCAAATTAGGCCTTAACATGCTTGAATTGCATGAATTATGTTCTCCAAAGCCATCATTGTTACCTAAAGCTCAATTAACTGAAAGATAAACACAAAAAGGATTAAAAGCACAAGTTTAACTCAAAAACATAACCAAATCATAAGCTAGAAGGGTAAGAAATAATATACAATTATGAACCGATCAAGTTGCCCTCCACCAGGCACGATCAAAATCAACTTCGACGGGGCCTTCCACACTAGGTCGACTGGGGGGGGTGTTGGGGTTGTCATTAGGGACGAAGATGGGAGATTTCTGGCTGCCCTTGCAAAGCGTGTGTCTTTCGCTAGTTCTGCGGAACATGTTGAGTGCCTCGCGGCTCAAGAGGCTGTACGGTTCTGGTGGAAGATGGGGGGGTAGGCGGTCAGGTTTGAGGGTGACTCGCTCAATACTATCCAGGATGTTCTCTCCTCCGAGGTAAACTTGTCCCCCTTGGGGTAGCTTATCGAAGATATTCAGTCTAGCTTGCGGGATCACCGGAGGGATTGCTTTAGTTTTGTTCGCCGTGAGGCCAATGGTGTAGCTCATTGTTTAGCTAAATTTGCTGTTAACTATTCGCACCCATGGGAGTGGGTCGAGGTGCCCCCTGATTTTATTCAGGACGCCCTTGATGTCGATAGTTGTACTCGAGGTCAGGCTTTTCGCCCCCCTCGTCCTTCTACTTTGTTATTATGAGTATTCTCTTCTCGTACGCGAGGATTTTAAAAAAAAAAAACTCTGTCTCCACTCCACTGTTTATACATTTTTAATAATTCTGCATATTGCAATTGTTTTTGCTAATTTTAAAATAAAACAAGTTTTCATTTTTTAATTAATTTATTATTTATTAGAATCTGTCACAAATTTGCGGGAGACGTATGGATATGCACTTGAACCGGTGAGAGTGACGCCGAACATCTTTGTGCCGGCACCCAACGGTCGGCCCGCGTTTGACTTGTATGATAAGGCTTTTAGAGGCATCCGTCGCCGCTACACCACCATTCCGGGGCCCGCGCACGAGCAGTCTGTGGGTTGTTATCGAATCAACCTCGGTTCAAGCCATATTTTGGTAACGGATGATATGTAAGTATATTGATATGTTCTTTGCAGTTTTGTTTATTCTGTATTAGTTTCTTTCTTGTCTCTATTATTTCATTAACTATCATAATTTTTTTGTCACCAGGGAGGGTGGTACTCAATGTCGTCTTCACTTGGAGTTAAAGGAGTTCTGTGACGTTAGAGAAGCAATGGAGTTTGCGCTGTATATGGGATGCAAACTGGTGAGCGGCGTCAAAGAGGACCCACTGCGTCCCGGGGTGCTGATGGCCACGGTCAAGGACCGGTACAAGTTTGTTTGGCAACTGTGCCAGCCCGTGGGTAAGAAGAAAGAAAGATTGTTTTAAAATTTTATTTTATTAATTATTATTGTTTTAAAATTTTATTTTATTAATTATTATTGTTTTAAAATTTTATTTTATTAATTATTGGCCTTAATTATTTAATTTGACTTTGTACTTAGGTGGTCTTGGGATTTGGAAAGACGGTTTTCTAAGTGACGAAAGCATTAAAGCTACCTACATTTTTGAGGATCTTCGCATGGCTAATCTGTCAAATAATTTCCGATGCCGCATGCCACGTGTAAGGGTGCAAGTTTTAAGCAAAACTGACTATGACATTGACAACCGTGAACTCCATCTTGAACAGGAAGACTTTATTGTAGTGGAGTATACATTAAGCAAGGGAAATATTTATTCTAAATTTTCAATTTAATTTATTAGTCTATTAAGAAAATTATATATAAAATAACATTTTTTGAATTTTGTTTTGTTTTGTTTTTTCATTGCAGGAAGTTGTTGAGGATCTGAAGGAAAAAATTAGATATCGAGGTCTAATAGTTGGCATAGTGAACGACTATACAGATATTTGCCCGACTATACAGGGGAGGGATATGATGGATGAGTACGGTTGCCACATGACTCTGAGAATGCCCCTAACCCTCGAAGCTATTAGGGAAATACTCATTGCTGCTCTGGAGTTGAGGGAGAAGAGGACAGTTAGTCAAAGCACTGATAGGGTATATGCCATAGAAATGGTAAAGGGGCTGAGAACTAGGCAGAATCAGATTGATGAGGAGGTGGAGGAGGAAGAGCCAGAGACAAAGCCGGAGGAGGAAGAGAAGAAAGAGCCAAAGAGAAAGAGGTGGAACAAGTTAAGGAATAGGCCGAAGAGGCACAGACACTGAGAAGAAAGACTGAGAAGAAAGATAAAGGGGCACAGACAAGAAACAAAAATAAATAAAATAATACTGCTGTTAGAATCGAAGCAAATATAAACATCTTTGATGCGTTAATATGCGCATGCTTTCAAATAAACTGTCCTCATTGTGTTTTCTAACAAATGTATGCACTCTTATTCTCTTGGAGTTTGTAAGTACAATCAGGTGTTTGGGAAAACCTGTCATATCAATATCATCAGCAACATTGGCTTCTAAGTTGAAATAATAAGCGTATCTTCTAACCTAGAAAGAGGTTTTGGAATTACAAAAACAGTTAGGAAAATATTTAATTACCCTTCGATCCAAAGTGTTCGTCGGCTCGGCTAGTGGGATGGCGTTTCGGACGTCAATGAACTCATCCAGATGGTAGTGACCAATAAGGCATGACCAGGACATTAGCTGGTGAGCAAATGCCATGTGTAGGCTGACTGATTTTAAAGAGAATTTCAAATTCAGAAGCTATGAGGTGGGTGTGTGTAGTAAGGGCATTGGTGCGTTTATCAAAAACTTGAAAGAGGAGTTTGGGAGTGTAGAGAATGTGGACGTACGGTGTGGCATGCGCTTTGTGGGTATTGGGGTGGGTTTAGACCTGGGACTAATAATCCGGAGTTGCCCGAGTGCAGGGTGATTAAGCCCAAGTTGTCACCGGGATTGGAGAGAACAATGGAGGACTTGGCGGTGGACAAGATTGTGAACAATGGAGTTGGGTTGGTTTTGCCGGAGAGAACAATGAAACTTGCTTTGCAAAAATCCCAAAATGCAGAACTGAGAAGTCAATTTGAAGGTCGTTGATAAATCAATTGAAATTTTAGATATCTCTCGTATTAGTAGTGGTTGGTTGACTGACCTAATTCCTTGGAGGCCAAGATTGCGTGGTGTATAAGAATTCTAGTTGCAAGATAAATATTATTTATAGTTCCACGAAATCCTTGAAAAATCATATCAAATCGCCACAATTTAATGAGAATATAATATTTTATCACTTAATATTTCCCTTCCAAATAAAGCCAATATTTACCGTACTTGATTCTCTTCCCATTGAACGAGAAAATAAACAAACAGTATATTATAAAAACAAGTAGGAAAAGAAAACGAAAATATTGCAATATTATATTATTATTGCCAAATTACTTACGATTTTGAGTTCTATACATACAAGAGGACTTGTGCTAACGTGTTATCTCTTCTCTATCCGCTTCATATATTTTATAAATAGCCAGGAATATCTTAGGGTTGGTTTCTTGGTACGTACAATATTTTGTTTCTTCTTCTTCTTAATTTGGAGTGCTTGTTCGTTTTGGTGTCATGTACCCTAATAATAAGAAGCGTCGTTGTGGGAACATGGCCGCTGGTGTTGCCTTCAAATACAGTTGCAGTAGGTACATATCATCACCAGAATGGGCAAGTCTTCCTCTGCTGCCCGTGTTTTTGATTCTAGATAATTTGTTTGAGCCCATTGACCATGTTTCTTTTGCTGCCGTCTGCAAGCAATGGCGTTCTCTTGCAAAAGACTATAATCAAGCAACACAGCGGTGGCGGCATAACAACCTACTTCCCATGCTCTTGATCCCTAATGAATATGAACGCCAAGGCAGCGGCAGCAAGAATAGCCGCCACATAACGAAAACGAACCACCGAAAAGCATTATACAGCATTGCTGAAGGCAAAATCTACAACAATATTGGATTGGAAGTGCCTTTTAAAAAGAGGTCTTGTGGCTCTAGCCACTGTTGGTTTGCCACAATAGAATCCGTCACAGACCAAGGTCCGATTATAGCACTCCGGGACCCTTTCAGAAATCCGGCATCGCCTATTCTTCTCCCTCTCTTGGATGTCCGAGACAGAAACCACGGCACATGTTTCTTCGAATTTTATATCAGAAAGGTTATACTCTCTGCTGACCCTGTTTTGAATCCAGATAACTATGCGGTTGTAGCAATTTTCCGTAAATCTAATCTTTTTGCTTTCATCCATATGAAAAGAGGTCAGTGCCAAAAAGATTGGACTTTGATTAGGACCCCATGTCCGGTCACTGATGTTATATCTTACAAAAACCAAGTCTACCTAGTTGAATATCAGGGAGATATTATGTCATTAGATGTTGATAACCAAGCTTGTTCACGAATACGAATAAAGCCGCTTACACCTCTGTTCGAAAACTTCCGAACTCATGGATCTACAAGATATCTTGTAGAATCAACCAAGGGAGACTTAATGCATATCGTAAGAGTTTGTAAACAAACGCAAGGGGCCTACATGAATGTTATGACTGAAAGCTTTAGGGTTTATAAGGCGGTGTTCGACGACAAAGACGGATCTATTTTACAACAAGTTGAGGTGAAAAGCATTGGAGATGATGCCTTTTTCATAGGTGATAATCATTCCGTCTCTGTTTTGGCTTCCAACTTTCATGGATGCCAGTCAAATTCCATATATTACACCCATGATTTCTCATCGTCGTATTATACACACCGATACGATTTCCGAGACATGGGTATCTTTAATTTAGAGAGCGGAACCATCACACAACATTTCTCCTTAGGTCCTTATTCTGATTTGCAGGGGTATATACAGCCTGTAGTCTGGGTTGTACCCCAGTTTAATGGACTCTGCTAGCTAGCTTCTTACAATTAAATTAAATTTTCATGTGATTTCATCAACGTAATGTACTGCACTTTTTCTTTTTCTTTGGGTTGATATGATGTACGGATTATTTTCAACTATATGTTTTTATAGTTGAAAATAATTCATAAAAAGAAAGTAGAAAACATGAACTTACTTTCTATGACTGAATTGTAAGTCAAATGTCAAGGAACCTCAACTATATTGTTCTGCATGTTGAACGTGATCAGAGGCTTTACTACTTCTTCCAATTTTTATGCTTCTTCTCCGACTACTTGTTCTCCTTCTCCACTCGCACTTTCATTTTGCTTCTTATTCTTACCATTGATGGTCATCACTCTCTCAGCTTTTACATATGGCTGTAGATGGCATGAATGCGCAGTTTAAGTTATTCTTTTGCACCCCATCCGTGATTTACGAGTTTATATCAAAACGATCAACATTTTCAATTCTAATATAAACTCGTAAAACATGAATGGCGTGCAAGATAATAACCCAAACTTAAAACCATATGATTTAAACGGGTCAATGAACTCATCAAGAAAAACTTGATTCATTAATTTGTGTTTGTGCTGGCGGTAGTGACCAAAATCAATTAGGAAAGGACACAAAAGTAAAGTTCACAACAATGAAGCCAACAATAGAGAAAGTTAACAACTAATTAAGCATGCACGTGGGGTGAGACCACAATGTAGTGTCAAATTCTTCGCCTCCCCAAGTGCACCCGGGTAGTATGAGATAATATTGAGGCAACCTAATATAATATTCTCTCTTCCTTCCCCTATCTAGAAGCGAATGGTGAAAAAAAATTAATTAAGCATTATATTTTTCCTTATTGGGCTTCAAAGGTGCATTTCCAATCTCATTTCCTTAATGACCTTTCCATTGTTCCAGCCCACATCTTTTGGGCCTGCTAACCCGTAAAGAAAAAGGAAAGGATATTATCAAGCAGCCTCTGGGGCTCTTCTTTAACAGCTGGTCAATTTTCCGTTGACAGTTCCGTCGGGCCAAACACAGCACAATCGTCTGCTTGGAATCTCAGAAAATATGAGCGAAAGTGCAGGAAAGGGGCAAAGGAAACTCCGAGCACCATGACGTCGTCGGAGTTCATGGATAAGCAGATCATGGAACTTTCTCGGTCCCACTCCGACGATTTCTCTCAACTTTCATATCCTCGTGACCTCCGAGACGATGAGGACAAGGACGACGACTCAGTTTCCAGCTTTCACTTCCGCCCCACGCGACATGTCGTCTCGCAGCAGTCACGCGTTTCCACTTTCGAGGTATGCATTTCAAGCTTCAACTAAATTTTCGAATTGATGGATTATTTATCTAAAGTTTGAATCTTTTTGTGTTTAGTAGAATAGAATTTGGGCACTAACTGGAATTGGTATAATGGTAGCATCAAAAGTTTCTGATGAGTTTTGTTTTAACTCTTCTTAATTTATGTCTATGTGGGTGTGCATAGAGATGCTTAAGCTTTTTTTTCCTTTATTTATTGTTAAATGAAATTGAATTAAGTTTGATGGTATAAGTGAGGAAGATAGAGAACTCAATCTACTGAATATCGGCTTGGGTGTACTATGTTGATTCCTGCTCATGACAGTTGTAGATTTTCAAGTGATTGCTTCTGTTATTATGACTCACAGAATTGCAGTTCTATGGACCACATTGACCTTGCAAAATCGGGTTGCAAGTATGCCGGGGCTTTTGATAACTCAGCGTTGATCTCGGTGATTGGTCAGAAGATGAGCCATCATTTTGACAATCTGCTGCATGCGGTGGAGGGTCTCAGTGCGCGACTTTCCCAACTGGAGACTCGCTTACGCCGACTAGAGAACTCAGTTGACGACTTGAAGGATTCTACTGAAATTAACCATGGCAGGAATGATGGGAAACTTAGACAACTTGAGAATATTCTAAGAGAGGTATTGTAAATCATACATTTCTTGTTTAACCAGTCAATTAGGTTGCATTATTGTAAGTGCTAAACTTAGAGGATGGATAATTTTGATTGTACAAATTAGGTGCTAGAGGCAGATAAGTTGATAGAAAATTTGTTGGCTCGAAGCTCATATTAACAGGTTTATAGTCAAATAGGCGTTTCACAGGAATTTATCTGATTTGATTTTGCATGCCATAACTTCTACTAGTATAACACAATAACATTCACAATATTGTAAGTGACCATGATCATCTTTGCTGAGCACTGAAGTTGAACCTAGTGTCTAACTAGTCTTCTGATTTTTAATTTGAGCAATGTCCCTTTTGAACTATGGGAGAAATGTTGAAGATGTCCTGTTAGCACAATGTGTTAAATAATACAATCATGTTGAAGCAGGTGAAAACTAGGTTTAAGCGTTGTTGTAAGCTGGAGAAAAAAAAAACAAGTAATAGTGGTGTACAGGAGATTCTGCGATTCCTGCCAACAGCTTCTTGATATGGTTCATGTTGTTTGTAAATAAATTGCAGGTTGAAGGTGGTATGCAGGATTTGAGAGATAAACAAGAGATATCAGAGGCTAAGCTGCAGCTTGCAACTCTTCAAATATTAAAGGGTCACCAGCAATTGGAAAACCAAGGGAGCAATGTACAAACAATTTCAACTCAGGGAGTATTGTCATCTGCCCCTCAACAAAGCCACCAACCACATTCAACTCCTGTTGCTTGTCTACAACTTTCTTCTTTTCCTCCTAATGTTCCCCCAACCCAACCCCATCAGAATTTGCCACCAGCACCTGCAGCACAAGTTCATACTCACTCACCTCAGAATCAAATCCCTTCTGTCCAACAGACAGATTCTAACTACTCGCCACCTGTGTTGAATCCACAACCCGCACCTCAGATATACTATATGCCTCAAGTTCAACAGTCACAACCACCACCCACAGCACCATATCAATATTATCCACCAGCACCACATCTTTCACCAACCGCACAATTACAACGGCTACCTCAATTGCACCTGCCTCTCAATGCAGTTGATCCACAAGCCCAGTCTTCATCGGTTCATAATCCTGGAGAAACCCCCTACATGTTATCTCAAAGATATCCTCCAAGCATGCACAAACCCTCTAATGCAACTGGCATGGCTCTCCCAACCCAACAACAGTACATGGGTTCTTTCCAGTATACGCATGATCAATCCACAAGAAATCATTGTTCAGATTTATCTGCTGGGCATATGCAACCAGTTCAACATTCAACTTTTGATGATTTTTATTCCCATGAAGGATCTCCATCTCACAACAGCGGTTCAAAAACGAAACACTCACAAATCTTGCCAGCCTCTTTAGACCGTTCTGGTGGAAGCAGCATTTCAAGACTGCCAACTGCCCAGGTGTTGCCATATGCAATACCTATGGCCTCGAGTATGGATAAGGAGTCAAGTTCTGGTGTGACGGGAAACAGAATACCAATTGATAATGTCATTGATGAGGTTGTAGCAATGGGATTCCGAAGGGACATAGTCAGAGCAACAGTGAAGAAAATGACTGAGAATGGGCAATCAGTGGACATTAATGTTGTGCTGGATAAGCTGATGAACAATGGAGAAGTTCAACCGAAAAGTGGTGGATTTGGCCGGTAATATGCTGATGTTGATATGATTTATGAAGTATATTTAATTATATGTTTTTATTTTAGTTCTTCTTTTTCTTTTTTACTCTGTTGTTTTGCAATGTGCTTCTAGATCTGGATCAATGTATAATTACCTCCATGTCTTTGCTTTCCTTTTCTTTATTTATTGATGTAAATAGTGTGTAAATATAAAGTGACTGGTGACTTGAAATTTGTTGTGTGTTTCATGTGAATGTAAATTACTAGCTTTCACCAAACGGATCAATACTTGTTTTAATTTTCGATGCCCTTGAACGAAATATTATAAGACCCGTTGCCATATCTAGATATTATTCATAAGGCAAAAAGTTACTTTTGGTCCCTGTAGTTTGTCACTTTTATCATTTTGGTCCTTGTTATTTCAATTTTGTCAATTTTGTCCCAGTAGTTTCAATTTGAAGCAATTCAAGGACAATTCTCAATTTCTGTCAATCTTTTAAAACTTTCTGTTAGTTGTTGGAGGGGCAATTTGATAAAAAAAAAAAATCATTTTAAAAATAATAATCTTTAAATTGAAAAAAATAAAAAAGTTCCCACAACACACGCACATACACTCTCTCTCTAGACTTGGTGGGGATGGATCTGTGGGTTGCGGTAGTCGAAGAACTTGGCGACGAAGACGGTGGTGTGGAGGCATGGGTGCCTTGATAAAAAATTTGGAAGCGAGATGAGGGAATTTTCCCTTTTGTTTGGTCGGAGAAGAAAGTTTATGGATGGTGGGCGATGGCTAGGTGGTGGTCGGTAGACGATGGTTTATGGGGATGGCTAGGTTGGGGTGACGGTGAAGGGGTGGGGCTAGGAGGGGAGTGTGGTTAGCTTTTATTTTTAATTTTTTTAAAATTATTTTTAAAGAGAATAATAATTTGTGGACTGAATTGCCCTTATACAACTAACAGAAGTTTAAAAAAAGATGACATTAATTGAGGATTATCCTTGAATTACATTAGATGGAAACCACATGGACCAAATTGACCAAATTGAAACGATAGGGACCAAAATAAAAGTGACAAACTGTAGGGACTAAAAGTGACATTTTGCCTATTTATAATAATTGGTTTTGCTAAGGACACTCCGTGTTTGAATTTTCTATGCTGGGCTAGATGTAGCTTGGGGACAAAACTAATGGACCTCAACTGGAAAGGAACACTTTGAAGCATTGAAACAAGTGACAGCTTCAGCTTTTTACTTCACAGAGCTGTGCAGACTTTAGGGGCGTGATAGTTGGTTTGCAGTGACAGATATGCCCTGCCCTCCCTTAAACTTTGCTTTTGAGTTTTGGCCATCAGTTTTTACAGTTTGCTGCTAGGAGATATGCAATGTTCTTTTTTCTTATCGACCGAAATGATTACGGCTTTGGTTCCCCTACTAATTTTTTCA